GGTTGTGCGAGAAAATCCCAGTAGATCAGCAGTTTCTGAAATACTCAGAGCAGCCCGTCTGGCACCAACAACCATGCCACGTTCAAAGTCACTTAAATCCCCTTTCTTCCCCATTCTGATGCTCAGTTTAAACTGCAGCAGATCGTCTTGACCATGCCTACATGCCTACATGCATTGAGTTGCTGCCATGTGGATGGCTGATTAGAAGTTAAATTAAATAACGTTAGTTTATTTTAACTTGGAATGCATTAACTAATTAACAAGCACAACATTTGGTTTTAATAATGCAATAATTAATGTTGAACTATAATTAATAAATGCTGCACAAGTTTTTTGTTAGTAATGTTAGTAAATGTATTAACTTATGGAGTATTACTTTGAAGTGTTACCCTTAAAATAACCATGTTTTTCTGTATCATACTTTAAAATGTATTTAATTTGTGCCCTTCTAAGCTGCATTTTCACCATCGTCACTCTTCAGAGTCCTCCAGAAATCATTGCTAAACTAAACCCCCTCTCTGAGGCAACCTGTGTGTTGTGTAAAACTACAAAACAACCTGTGTAATGTGTGCGTGTGTGCTGCACCGTCAGATTTCATCACAACATGGATTATTTCAACACAAATCAGCTCAAGTATAACAATGTCAAAGAGTGCGTCTGACAGCGGGGTAATAAATAATAAAATATATTTATTTTCTCCAATAGAGTTTCAGTATTTGGCACAGAACAGTGTTTGGTAATGAGAGTGTTACAGGCACAACAGCAGAATAAAAGCACTGTGGGAGAGAAAATTAAACATTCACTCAACTCATTTGTGGGTTTTTGTGAAACTTGTGTGGTCTATAAAGAGACTGATCCTACTTTTTTGTTGAGAAGTATAAACTTTAACCATTATTTATTTATAGTATACACTAAAACTATGCGTAAATTATAGTGGTGTAACGGATCACAAATATCACGGTTTGGATCACATAATGGTTTAGTCACGGATCGGACCATTTTTCTGATCAGCCAAAAAGGGGAGGAGACAAATGTCATTTGCTTTCTGTTTATTACAAAAACAGCACTGCAAGACACTTAAAATTAGAAATTAGAAACTGAATTTTATTAAAAATAAAATGAAGAAACAATCAGCTGAATAAAAATAAACTGTAAATATTCAGAAACATTCACTGTTACTCTACTGTTGCTGATAACACTAAAGGTAGAAATATAATATTATCATTTTAAAATTCTCATCTTTTCATGATTAATGGTGCAGCTTACACTAAATGCATTAATGCAGGCTAAACAAGTAGTGACAGAAAACCCCTTTAATAACCTAAGAAACCCACCACATCCCGAATAACCACAACCACAACTTCCGTCATCGTATTTTACAGGAAAGCCTAAATGCTTTCCTTCGTGTGATTTGAATGATGAGAGAGAATCGTTACAAATTTAGAACTAATCTTAAAGTAAAAGAATTATTATTCCGCAAGTCACGTGTGTTCCGAACCATGGGTTGTGATCCGTATGAATCACTGATCAAATGTGATCCGTTACACCTCTAGTAAATTAGCAGTTTTCCATGCATTATGGGACTTTAATATACAACTTTTAACCTTGAAAAGTTCAAAAAAGTGACTTTTATTGACATTTTTATTAGTTGCAGTGGTATATTGTCTGGGTTGGTATTGTGTATTACGCTACAAAGACCATATAAAAAAAACTGCCAGCACAATTTCTGTTATTTTACACACTTATTTCTCTATATATTATAATTTCTTATACATTATATTATTTTAAAACTAATAAAATGTCAATAAAAGTCTAAATTGTAGAGTTGAATTTTCAACATCGAAAAGTCGACAGCGCAGAGATCGACATCCCACAATGCAATTCACAACCGTAAATAAACCAAAAACATCACATAATACGAAAACTGTGAATTAGGATATATTTTTTTACAGTATAAATGTGGAAAATCTGAATCAAATCCTGTGATTAAATGGCAGTAAAGATTTGTGAACCAGAAAAAAAAAAAACGCATACAGTAAAACCACAACCAACACCTGGTGAATGTCCAGACAAATGTGCAATATAAATCAACCTCTAATCTAAATATGATATCTAAATACTTATTTGTATTTGTCTGAGACATCTATGTGACTACAGATAACATAGTAAAACATTTTTAAAAGTGGTAAATTCGACAAACTTGTTAAAATGTGGCATTAAAGGGAGTGCGCTTCACTATCAGTCCACTAGAGGGAGACAAAAAGCAGGAATTACAGAAGGGATTTAAGTAGAAAAATTATATATTCTCATTCTCATGTCATAAGTACATCTAAATTTTATATATTTTTTGAAAAGGTCACATGGGGGTTGTATAGAGTGAAAAGTGAGCTAATAATTATTCTTATTAAATAATTATTTTTAATTTATTTATTTAAAATGTTATATATTTATGAGTCAAAGAAGAAAAGGGGTTTCAAGCATTAAAATAAAAGTTCATAAATTTTTTTTGTACATTAGAACTTTTTTTTTGCATGGTAAAAGTTGTGAGATAATGGCCAAATTATTTTTAAAACACTTAAATAGAAATGGTATATATATGGGTCAAAGAAGAAAAGGGGTTTGAAGCATTAAAACAAAAACTACTATTATTTATTATACGTAAATTTCAATGCATCTTTTTTTGTACATTATAATGTCTCGTTTAATTACATTTTTTTTGAGCAAAAAATAATCACACATTTTTTCACATGATTTATAGAAGAAAACAACTGAAATGTCATTCGTGTAACAATAGTTTAAATGTAAAAAACAACTTGAGACATTTTTTTAAAATATGAATCAGACAACATATTAATAGACTCTATTTAAGCATCATTTTTAATCTTTATACTTTGCCACTATACTTCAAACCACAAGACTTGACCCAACAAGTTTTAATAATCTAAAATGCACACACAAATTAAGTATTATCACTTACTATTTTATATTTTTAACTAAGTGCAAGTCAGAATATTCATCTCATTTCATTTATACATAAATAAATCCGTCATCCTGAATAAAAACATTATTTCACTCATATTTTGCCATTTTCATTTTCACAAATGTTACTTGAAACATTAATTTTGCTTGCATTTAAAGGGGTCATGAAAGACCTGTTTTTTTATTTTGTATTTGTAATTTATTTAGTTTTGTATTTTCCACTTGTATTGTTTAAGGAAAAAAATACATCATAATGTAGAAGTAATCGGCTAATTTGGGTGCTGATTTTGACCCTCATCAAAACACTCAGTTTTAATGGGCGTGGTCAATGGTAGACTCAGGGTAAACTCACACTGCTCTGATTGGCTGCCGGTTTGCATATTAACAAGCCCAAACAGCCATTAAAGTAGAAGTGGGCGTCGATCTTCTGCAGAAGCGGAACTTATCCACACTATTCCATCAGTACCATCATTTTTTGCTTGTGTGTTTGGGGTGGGGAGGGGGGTGGTGGGGGGTGTCTGGCTTTAATAAAAGCTGATTTTAGAGGAACCACAACATTTTGAGCTCTGAATATGAATATTTTTATACTATAGTGAGCTCTGTATCAGTGTGTACTTAGTTCATGACCCCTTTAAAATGTTTTTAATGTATATAAACTCACTCCTTTGACCCATATATACATATATATATTTTTAAATATACCTATTTTTCAGTGATTTGATGTGGCATTTTCATTTAGACATATTCAGCAGAAAACTCAATGCACTGATGTCCCACTTTACAATAAAGTTCCATTAGTTAAAAGCATTTGTTAATATAAACAAACAATGCATTTATTACAGTCATTAGTAAATGAAAATAGGCATTATCTTGTTAACCCACGGTCCATTAACTAATGTTAACTAACACAACTTTGGATGTTAATAATGATTAGCAAATGTTACTAATAAATGGTGCACAAGTGTTGTTCATATTGTTAAACACTTTAACATTATTACACGGCTCACTGCGATGCTCGATTCTGATTGGTCAAGAATGATATTCAGGTATGTTATCAGGTATGTTACTCCCTGATAACAACTGATTAAACTAATAACACACACTCATCGGAGTACGACAATCAGTGAATATATTTAATCTACATTTAAAGACGAATTTATTAGCCCTACTGTGAAATGTTCTTTTTTTTTTTTCAATTATTTCCCATTGATTAATTGAGATTTATAAACATAGTGGTTTAATATGTTTATTAAACCATAATAACTGATTTATTTTATCTTTGCAATGATCATATTTTACTAGATATATTGAAATATACTAGTATTCAGTGTCAAGTGACATTCAAAGGCTTAACTAGGTAAATTATGTTAACTAGGCAAGTAATTGGACTTAATTTGTTAAGATGGGATAGTAATATTGACCAAAGCAGATTTTACATCCTAAAAATATATATAACCCTTCACATGAGGACTTCGGTCAACTGTCTAACGCCATCTTGCAAATGGATAATAATAGTAATGTTAATAATAATAATAACAATAATATTAGTAAAAATAAGTAGCAGTTAGTGCGTTTATCATTCCGCAAGCTTTAATTAAAGAGAGTTAATAAATTAGATCAATGTTTTATGTCTAATAGTATAGTTTTGTGGCAAGTAGTCATGTGATAAGTGGGATAATGTACATCTGGACGGTTGTTATTCCAAAATAAAGCCCTTCAGTCTTGTATAACAGCTGCTGATCAACCTGTATTCTCTATGAACAACTGGCTAGATGTACATTATTCATTACAGATTACACGGCTGTCTGGATTACTCTGATTGGTCAAGTCACAATATTTTTTTTCCAGAAAACAACAGCTAAATAACACAGATTCAACTGGGATTCTCAAATCATCTTGACCATCAGTGAATACCTTCACATCTAAAGTTATATGCTTCTCTGTCACACTGCAGTTTTTGACTCTCTGGCGCCATCTCGTGACTGAATAATGCACAGGTTAGTGTATACTCCATTCAGCTGTTTTCATTTGTCAGCTTTGCCTTTAATTAAAGAGTTAATAAACTATTACGACTCAAAACAATGTTTTGTGTTGAGTATTTACGTTTTGTGACAAGTAGCCGTGTAATAAACAAGATGAAACACATCCAGGACAGTTGTTTTTCTCATAGAACTGCTTTTAACCTGCTTTATTCTGCCAGAATAACTGGCTAGATGCACATCATCCCTTATTTAAAGCGATAGCTCACCCCAAATATAATTGACTTGCCTTTGTTTTGAAAAGCTTTACAAGTTTCTTCTGTTGTTTTTCTACTATTTGATTACAGATTTTCATCATCTTTAGTGTTCAACAGAAGAAAGAAACTCATATACGTTCCTAAGCACATGAGAATCCATAAAAAAGGCAGTGAACATAAGATTTTGGGTGAACTATCCCTTTAACTAATGGAACCTTATGGTAATGTGTGACTGAAGAACACCCGTGACACACATCTATCCTGATGCATTGTGGGTATTTGGTGTAAAGTGCTCTGGAAATGTGAAGACTGAGCTCCAGGTGAAGATGTAAGAGACATTCGGTCCATCACTGAGATTAAAACAGAGTGAAGCGTGGGGTTTACGCTGATTATTAGCATGCACACTTGCTCTGCTCGGGGTCGTGTGGTTCTGTCAGGTCGGCGGTGCTGTGGCCGTTGCTGCGGACTGTCCCGTCGGGGATCCAGGATTTATCCACACATCTCTCCATGCGCTTCATGATAAGATCCAGCAGAACCTCCACTGCACGACTCACATTCTCACCGTTCGCCGCGCTCGTCTCGAAATATGGCACGCTGAGAAGAAAAACACACTTCAGTACATTGAGAGTACATCATTACAGTCGTATGTACATAAATCACATGCTGATCACCAGTTCATTACTTCAAGTTATTAATTAACTACGGAGAACATCATTACAGTTGTATTTAAATTAGGACTGCATGAGACTGGAATAACATGTTGTTGCATGTTGCAAAGATGAGATTTCTTACGATTTTTGCGAAAATTAAATATATAAATAAAACATAAATCACATTACTGATCTCACATGCTGGCCATGTTACTTTAAAAACTTAAATACAATTACATGGGTAACCTTATGGCAGTTAAAGAAATTAAATTGTTCAGTATGGAATTTATTTACTTGACATTTACTTAATAAAGAAATTATTAAATAGACAACAAAAATTAAATCTGAGTCAAGCCTGGCATTTTAACTTTAATTTTTTAAAATTCTTTCACATTGCGTTAATACACAACAGTTAAACAGAAATACTTCTCAAAAAATACAGTATCAAACTAATTACTTCATATTTCATACATACTATATATTGTTGTTAATTTCTGACTCAATTTCATTGTATCATTTATATATTTAATAAATTCATTTAAAAAGAAAATAACAAAAAATAAATGCAAAAACCCTTTTGTTGTCCTAAAATATATATATATATATATATATATATATATATGTATTATTATTTATTATTATTATTGTTAATATTAATTACAATTATTATATGTAAAAATATATTTTACCATTTTATTGTATTTTTCATGACCATTATATATATATTTAATTTTTACAAATTGTTTTATATAATATAAAAATACAATATAAATAAAACATATAAAAGTCTAAAAAACATATAAATGTAGCCTTGATAAGATGTACAGGTATTTTAAGAATAGTATAAAAATATTCCAAAAATTCGACTAGCAATATAAGTAATATACTTTTTTTCCCTAATTTTAAATATTAATTTTATTATTATTATTATTATTATTAATTAAAATCATTATGTTAAAAAATATTGTAACATTTTAATTTCTAATTTAAATAACCGAGTGACAATAAATGTATATAAAAACAAGTGATTTTAAAGTAATATTTTTAAAAACAACATTATAAATTATATAAATAAAAATATTAAAAAAAAAATATATATATATATATATATATATAAACGTAATTAATACAAATAATTTTATATGATATAAAAATAAAATATAAATAAATCATGTAAATTTAAAAAACATATAAATGTAGCCTTGATAAGATGTACGGGTATTTTAAAAAGTCTTAAATATCCAAAACATTTGACTAGCAATGTAACAAATATACATTTTTCTTTTTATAATTGAATATAACAATAATTATTATTATTAATTCATTAAAATCATTATATTAAAAAATATTTAACATTTTAATTTTATATTTAAATAACCGCGTGATTAATATATGTATGTAAAAACAAGTGATAATAAATGCATTTTGAAGTAATAATTTTAAAAACAACATTATAAATCATATAAGTAAAAATTATAAAAATGTTTAGATAAAACATATCATATAATATAATAATATAAAAAATAATATATAAATAAAACATGATATAAATATAGCCTTTGTGAGTTGTACAGATATTTCAAAAATAGTCCTCAATATTATAAACGTTTGACTAGCAATGTAACAAATATACATGTTTAATTTTCCTAATTAAAAGAACATATTAATATGAATTATTATTAATAAACATTATTTTTACTGAAATTTCTAAAAAATAATCCTAATTATTATAATCCTAAATAATATAATATAATATAATATAATATAATAAAAACTTTTTACTATTAAATGTTACATCATGCGTTATTTTTCTAAACATAATCAAGAGCAAATACACATAATTCTCCTGACGTTTTCATGAGAGCAGCACACACTCAGCTGCGTGATAAATCGTATCAGGGTGTGTAAGTGAGTGATCACTGCTGCTATACGGAGCATAATCCTGCATTCAGCGTGTCCGAACTGAAGACGCACATTAACACAGTCAATATTAGTTTTTCGGTATCCCGCATGTGTAGCGTGTGACATTTAACAAGAGCCGTCCTCATCTTAGGCAAACACTGCAGACTCGGCCCTTAAAACAAACACGCTTCGAGACGCTGCACCTTCTGAACACAGCACAATATCAGCTCAGACAATATTTCTACACCTCTATGAGTCAAACTTTATATTCTCATTTTAGACAGAATCGTGCAGCTCTAATATATATATATATATATATTGGGACAAAGGCAAGCTGACTGAAAGCAATATTTTAAAAAAGAAGGTTTAATAGAGCAGATCCAATAAATTCATTAATTCATTCTTATTTATCTGGGGTCCCCACAGCGGAATAAATTGCCAACTCATCCAGCATGTGTTTTACACAGTGGAGGGCCTTCCAGCTGCAATCCATCACTGGGAACCATCCATATACACTCATTTCACACACATACACTACTGCCAATTTAGTTAATCAATTCCCATACTGCGCATGTGGTTGTGGTAGGGGAAACCGGAGGAAACTCACGCCGATACGGGGAGAATATGCAAACTCCACACCGCAATGCTAATTGGCCCAGTGGGGACTCGAACCAGCGACCTTCATGCTGTGCAGGCACAGTGCTAACCACTGAGCGATACTTTAAATGAAGCCGTTTAATTTACGACTGTCAAAAAAATCAAAAAGTCTCCTTTCTGACAATCAAATCAAAGCAGACTCTTAATTTTCTGACTTAAATAAAGTTTATAGGGTTATGTTATTTTTCATTTTTCTAATCTAAAATGTGACTGTTTACATTTAAGCCCAATTTATTGAGTTCAATAAAAAAATGTGCAGAATAAAATCCTAATAAAATCATGACTGTTTCCTAACTCTCGGTTGCAAAGGAAATCAAATGCTTTTAGCTGATAAACACCGAGTTCTGATGAGGTGTTGAGTCAATATTAATGCAGTACTGACTGAATGTGACAGAAACAAGCATCTGGAGTTTCTCACCCGTATTTCTCTGCCAGTTCTCTTGCGTTCTCCGCTTTGACGGCACGCTGCTCCTCCAGGTCTGATTTATTTCCACACAAGACGATATCGGGATTCTCACAGTACGCATGTGTCTGCAGCTGACCTGAATGACACGTTACAACAAGTCATTTTTCAACTATCATATATTTATGACAATTATTTAAAATAATAAATAGTTATAAAATAACAATATTCTTATTTTCATGAAATTATTATTGAGCTAAAGAAAACTTCAATTACAATTGTGTAATTATAATCAAATACATGCTTACAAATGGTTTCACTTTCTCAAAAAAAATTACATTAAAACCATTTATAATTATTATTTTTTAAAATGCAGTATAGCTGTAATTATGATTGTATCATCAAAAAATATTTATATTATTAGAATCATTTTCAAAACATTATTACAATATTATTATCATTATTATAATCTTTATTATTTTAGTAAATTAGCAATTACTACACTGGTATTTGAATTGAAATTATAAACAATGTATTTTTATATATTAATAATAAAAATAATAATAAAAATATTGCTGTTAATTTTATACAAGTATTATTATTATTATTATTATTATTATTATTATTAAGCTGAAATAAAAACTACAATAATCATGTTATCCTTTATAACAACAATATAATAATAATAATAAAAATAATATTGTTATTTTATTCAATTATTATTATTATGGTAAAATAAAAAATTGTAATAATCATGTAATAATAAGCAAATTCAAAAGCAAATTCAATAAGCATTTCAAAATGGTTTCACTTTCTACTTTAAAAATACAATTATTAATAAAATCACATTAAAAGTATTTATAATTATTTTTTTTAAATGTAGCATTGTTGAAATTATTATTTTTATTTTATCAAAATATAATTTCTATAATTAGAAAAAATTGTATAACATACTATTACACTATTATTATTATCCTAATTATTTTATAGATTAGCTATCACTTCACTGGTATTTTAAATAAAATAGCATACAACGTATTTTTATATAACAATAATAATAATATTAATATTATTAATAATACAATTATTATTATTATTATTATTAGATGATCACTCTAAGCTGCTAGTTAAAATACAATTAATGAACATGTGTTTATTTAAAATGAATATTTGAATGTAATTATTAAATTTCCATATGTATTATTAAAAATAAGTGATATTAAATGCATTTTGAAGTAACAATAAAAAAAAGGATTTTCTTACTCATCCAGTTGCGCACATTCAGGAAGCTCTGCTCGTTGGTGAGGTCAAAGAGCAGCAGAAAGCCCATCGCATCTCTGAAGAAAGCAGTGGTCAAACTTCGAAACCTGCGGGAGTGTTTACAGGAGAAAACACTGCTCAAACAACAGTGGAAAACCAGGAAAATGTGATCTGTCTTGTAAATAAAATACATTTTAAATAGCGAGAAATTGTATTCAGGTCCACAACATCTGACGTACAGTTGAAGACAACACTATTATCCCTCCTGTTAATTTTGTAAGTCTTTTTCAATTATTTCCCAAGTGCTGTTTCTTAATGGAGAGATGATTTTTTTTCAACACGTTTTAATAAAAATCATTTCGAATAACTGATTTCTTTTAACTTTGCCATGATGACAGCACATAATATTTGACTAGATATTTTCCATGACATTTCTTTACAGCTTAATGTGACATTTAAAGGCTCAACTGGGTTAAAGCTAGGGTAATTAGGTAAGGTTAGGTAATTAGTGGTTTGTTATGCAGCCAATTAGGGCTAATAATACTGACCTTAAAAAAATTTACTTAAATTACAGCTAAACTTAAAGTAATATATATATATATATATATATATATATATATATATATATATATATATATATATATATATATATATATATAAAGTACAGTGAAAAATGTCCTTGCTCTGTTAAAAAGCACCAGGGAGTTATTGGAAAAAAATAAACAACATTTCACAGGAGGGCTAATAATAATAATAATAATAATAATAATAATAATAACAAAAATAATAATAGTAATTTTTTCTACAAATCCTGTAGTCATGCATATTGAAAACATCACACAGTATACAAACTTAAATATTTAAGCTTAATAATTCAGCATGCTCTGATCAGGATTTTTTTAGCTGAGTACCGTTTCCTTGTCATAGGGATTGGCTGACACAGAGTACAGATTCTGATGCTTCAAGCTTTATGATGCATTAAGCACATTTTCCCACTAAGTAAGACACTTAAGTGGAGATCTCTGCTTACCTAAGAGAATAAATTAAGGATGTTGTATATAATCCCTTAAACACATCTCTTATAATAACCATTCAGGTGTAAACACATCATGGCCAAAAGCAGCTTTACAGAAAATAATATGTCACATATAAAAATTGGTAAGAAATATTACAAACAATCACTCTGCTCGTATCACAGCAGCTCAAAACACTCAATGCCTCACGCGAGTCGCACCAATAGACTGTATAAACAGAGGTCACACCGCATCTGTATATATTTTAGTTGTTGTGAAACGAGCACATCAATCCCTCACGTCTCCACACGTCATGTACCCTCTACCTTCTTAGGTGTAGTTGCTGCTGCAGTCAATGCATAAAATACGGGAGCACAAGTGCGACTTCCTCTGCTTGTAAACTCCTAAACATACACCAGATAGGTTCATGACATAGGCCAGATTAGCAAGTACCAATCGAGTCATTAAATGTAAATATTGGCCAATCGATTGGAGCATCCCTAGTAATAATAAATATAATAGAGTAATAAGATTAAGCGGAGAAGTTATTTTTAGATAGTCATCTCAGATATTTTGAAGCATCAAAACAGATTCTTGCACGATTCTTTATGCCTGTCATTATGAACATTTTGTCTTTTAAACTTTTAAAGCTGAAGGTTCAGATAAAATCTGCTCAAAGATAGTAGGACAGTGTCTTCAAAAGTTACATGATGTTTCTTATTGCAAGTAGCTCCCAAGGCTGGCTTAAAGTATTGTTTGCAACCCTAATCATGTGGAGAATCATGAAGTCTTGATTTAAAGTCCCATGATTTGAATCAAGTGAAATTGAAACATACATTTGTACGTCAGACTGTCCTAACGCTAAAAAAGATCAGTGTAAAATAAAAACACTAATAATTTGTGTACTTAATTATGTCTTGTCTGATTGTAAACAGTGTGTAACATACTGTTATGCAATAAAAAATTCTGATAATAAAATTACATTATCATTATTATCATTACAAAAGCCATAAATAAAACCTCACAGACTCTCATTTGAGATTTCATGTGAATAAAGAGTTTTTTCACCTCTCCTGTCCGGCCGTATCCCAAAGCTGGATGTGGATCCTCTGGCCTCTGCCTGCTGTGCCATCAGGACCACTGGATTTATACACCTTTCAGAAAAACAGTAGACATTTCATCTCATTTAAAGGCACAGTATGTCATTTGCACCACTAGAGGGCGCGTATTCACAACAAACAAAGTAGCATTTTGATAGTGCTGTGACTGTGTGTGGTATCATGGGAGTTGTGGTCGTCATCATCCTACGGGACTCCTGCAGAAATTGATGGATGATTAAAGTATTCAACACTTATTATCGTGTAGTATAAAAAGCGAGAAAGAAAACGGCTGAAAACTGAAGAGAAATAAAAGAAATGCATCACTGGATTTATTATTTAACATTTCGAATAACGTAGGTCGGAACAAATAAAATGAACAAATAAAACTGTTCTAATGCTTTTTGTTCATTTTAAGGAAAACAATTTACATATTGTGCGTTTAGCTGTTTACCTATTTACTTTAAAACATTTTAATTGAATAAAAAAAGACATGGAAGCTAACCTGAAAATATTCACAAATAAATTAATGTTATACATCCCCAAAGCATTCAAAAATTCAATTATACAGGTAAAGATGTTGTCTAAAGCAGTGTTTCTCAACCACATTCCTGGAGGAGCACCAGCTCTGCGCATGTCTCCTTAACCAAACACAACAGATTCAGATCATCAGCTCGTTACCAGAGACTGAAAGACCTGTAATGGTGCAACAGACAAAGGAGACATCCAAAACATGCAGTGTTGGTGGTTCTACAGGAACGTGGTTGAGAAACCCTGCTTTAGACAACATCTTTACCTGTATAACTGACAGCATAATTGAGTACATGCCATTTTGAAAATGAATATGTTTCTCCATTCTTCAGTGAAAATAGGCATTTTATTTTGGTGTGTTTAAACAAAACAGATTTATTAAAAAGATATATTAAAATAATATTTTAGTCACCAAACATATTTAGAAATTGAAAGATAATTCAATTAAACTCAATCAAAATAATGCAAAAATAAATTACAACCTACAAAATTTTTTACATTTTGTTTTTTATGTTTTAAATTTGTATTTAATATTTTTTCTATAACATAAATTTGGGTGTACTAGTTTTTGGACCATTATCGAAAGTTATTTTGTTAGATAAGCTTCGGATTGGCTTCAGTACTGACTAATCTAATGAATATGATCTATACGACTAACAATGTACAGGCCCGTAGCCAGGAGGGGTTCGGGTGGTTTGAAAGACCCAACCCCCCCTCTGACAAAGCCCAGAATTTGGCCCCTATATAAGCTCATCAGTCCCATTTTAGACAGTGTACCATCATAAATTGTGAAAATAACCAATAGAAGAATACTTTAAGAAGAATAACCAATAAAAGAAGGCTTTTATTAATTAAATGGACAAATGTCTGAGGTAATAAACTGGCCAGTTTGTTATTTGCATATAGACTACAGTTTTTTTATTTGGTCACACTTTATTTTGATAGTCTGTTTGTTGAATTTAAGTTGCATTGCATCTACACGCCAATTATTTCTCATTAGATTATAAGTTGACTGTTAGGTTGGGGTTAACCTTGCAAAGTTTCTTATAGTCAATTAAATGTCTGTTAAAGAAGCAGCATCAACAGATATTAGGCACACAGTCTACTAATACTCAAACAGACCATGCAAATAAAGTGTTACCTTTGTGAACAGTTATTAACAGATTGCCATTTTTTATGATTACAGATGATTATAAATTATAATTTAGCATTTAAAATAAGTTATTTTTTCATATTTCTAAAATTCTAATCTCAGTACATTATATATGAAACTGTAATAACTTAGTTTAAATGCACATTTGTAAATAAACACAATTTTGTAAACAAAAAATAGTATGACAAGCACTCTGACTAAAATGTAGGAAGGATTTTTGTTGCATCAAAAAGTGTGGTAATAATAACCATCCAACAAACTAATCCAGCACAAATTAGTGGTTTAAAAGTTACTAAAATGCAGCACTTAAACCTTAATTTGAGGTGAATAACTACAAAAAGGTCCACTTTTTGAGAAAAAAGAACCACCCCTTTTAATAGGCTGGCTAGAGGCCTGATGTGTATATAAGATGTCGATGATCTCCAACTGTATTTTGCTATCAGATTTATCATTAGAACACCTTATCCTATGCCTTACCAACATTAAGACCTGGATGACCAATAACTCTCTGCAACTAAATGAAAATTAAACTGAAGTGCTCCTATTATTAGGTCCTGCTGCTACCAACAATTCAATTACAACTCCGCTAGGATTCCTAAACAACAATCTGCACAATTACGCCAAGAATCAGAGTTATTTTTGATCCACTTTTCCAGTTTGACAAGCATTTAAATGCAGTTGTGAAGGGCAGCTTTTTCCAACTTAGATTGGTGGCAAAAGTTAAACCGTTTCTTTCTAAAAAAAAATAAAAAATAATGATCTAGAAATTGTAACCCATGCTTTAATTTCCTCTCGATCAGACTACAGCAACTGTTTGTGCATTGGTCTACCACAGTCAACACTCTTTCGCTTACAGTTGAATCAGAATGCAGCCATCAGATTAATCACAGGAACTAAGAAAAGAGATCATATCTCCCCAGTCCTTGCCTCATTGCACTGGCTTCCTACAATGATTTTAAAAATCCTTCTTTTCACATATAAAACAGTTCTGCCCTGGTCTATATCAGTGAACTTATTAGGCCATATACAGTTTGTAGACTATTAAGGTCCCATGATCAGTTCTTTTTTCTGTCCCTGGGTCTCGCTGCAAATCAAAGGTGATCAAGCTTTCTGTGTTGCGGCCCCAAGGCTCCCTTTGAACATCAGGATTTCCCCATCAATGGATGCTTTTAAATCTAACTTAAGGATTTATTTTTACTCCCTAACCCTTGAGTAACGCACGCATGATATTTCTTATCTTCATTTAAGTATTACATATATATTTCTTTTCTTATATTTTTAATACAAGTTTTTTTTTTATGAAATATTTTATTTTACTGTAAAGCACTTTGGATCAACTGCGGTTGTGTAAAATTGTACTATATAAAAGTTTGCCTTGCCTATATGAACAAGTATAATGTTGTGAAGCTTCCTATTAAAAACCTAAATTTTCAAAGATTGATTTGGGAGGGGTGTACTTATATATGCTGAGCACTGTGTATATATACAGTATATATGTGTATATAACATATACAGTTAAAGTCAGAATTATTCGCCCCGCTGTTTATTTTTTTCTCCAATTTCAGTTTAACGGAGAGAAGATTTTTTCCAACACATTTCTGGACATAATAATGTTAATAACTCATCTCTAATAACTGATTTATTTTATCTTTGCCATGATAACAGTTCATAATATTTGACTAGATATTTTTCAAGACACTTTTATACAGCTTAAAGTGACATTTAAAGGCTTAACTAGGTTAATTAGGTGAACTAGGCAGGTTAGGGTAATTAGGCAAGTTATTGTATAATAGTGGTTTGTTCTATAGACTATCGAAAAAATATATAGCTTAAAGGGGCTAATAATATTGACCTTAAAATGGATTTTAAAAAATTAAAACTGCTTTTATTCTAGCCAAAATAAAGCAAATAAGAGTTTATCTAGAAGAAAAAATATTATAGGAAATACTGTGAAAATTTCCCTGCTCTGTTAAACATCATTCGGGAAATATTTAAAAAAGAAAAAAAACAATCAAAGGGGGGTGAATAATTCTGACTACAACTGTTTTTGAGTATGTTTACGATAATAACGTGTCAAATTGTTCAATCGATAGATATTCTATATTCTTCTTAACATAATTCTATCAAATGTCTTGCAATAATTAATAACTACACAAATGTTATGTGACATCGCAATGTTGCACTGTGATCAGTCGAAAGTATATGTTTCAGCTTGTTTCAAATTAAAAGTACTTTTGGCGGCTAACATTGAAGTTTCTCTCGGACACATTAAACACATACCGTACACAAAACCTGAGGACATAATTTCAGTATTTGGTATTACACCCTGCTGTTTATGTTTTAAATAATAGGAAATAAAATGTGATTGCCTTTGTTATGCTTATAGCTGGAAGGATTATATTGCTCAGAGGAAAGATCATCTCCAACATTTAACCAATGGTTAATGGATGTTTTACCAGTTGACCTTAGAATTAATATGGTATACTATAAGAGGCTACACTGTACATATAATATATACAGTGCAGCCTCTTGTAGTACATCATATTATACTTGGCAACCTGTTTTAGACAGGATAAAGAAGGTGAACTCCTCCGTCATTTCAGAAGAGTAGGTCTGTTTATTTTTATAAATAGATTCATTTTCTAATAAAAATTAAATGTATATGGGTGCAGCAGGGGAATTATTGTGTTTGGAAGGTAACCAAAAAAGGTAAAGCTATAAATCCAACTGTATTGTATATTTTCTGTCTGTTTAGAAAAAGACGACAAATGTGACATTGCAATGTTATAATGTGCTGGTTGCCAGGCTGTTACTAAGCTGTTTGCAGATAGTGTTTGTTGTTATGAGTAAGCAGTTCCAGGAATGGTGAATGTGCTTTTCCCAGTCAAACACCCTGGTTGAGATGTGGAAGTGTGTGACTCTGAACCATCAGTGTTTGTTTGATGTTTGAGCTGCTCAAGTGTTTGTTCTAGAGGAGGATCTGCATATGAAGCTGGGAGGATCCTGCACCCTTCTTTCCCAGAAACACACACACACTCTGCAGCAGGTTCTTGATACTGTGGGAAACCATCTGAGTATCTAACCACCCATCCAATCTACCCATCTATCCAAGTATATATATCTATCCATCCCTCCAGTATCCCTCCATCCAAGTATCAATCCATCAATCCGTCTGATTAGCTATCTGCCCACCCTAATATCTATCTGTCCTTCCATCACAGTATCTATCCATCCATCCAAGTACCCATCCATCTGAATATCCTTCCATCCATATACACATCCATCTATTCTTCTGAGTATCTATCAATCTATTCATCCATGTATCTATCCATACATCCGAGTACCCATCCATCAGACTACCTATTGATTATTCATCTGAGTGGTTATCCATCTGGGTACCTATCCATCCGTCCATTCATCTAAGTATCCATCCAATTATCTATCTATGTATCTATCTATCCATCCATTTGAGTATCAAGCCATCCAAGAAAGTACATATCCATCCATCCATCCATCCATCCGAGTACCAATCCATCCATCCATCCATCCATCCATCCATCCATCCATCCATTCGAGTGCCTATCCATCTATCCATCTTTCCATCCATTCATCAGAGTACCAATCCATCCGGTACCTATCCATCAAAGTACCTATTCATCTATTCATCCAAGTATCTGTCTATCCATCCAATCCATCCATCCATGTATCTATCCATACATCCGAGTACCCAAACATCAGACTACCTATTGATCTATTCATCTGAATGGTTATCCATCTGGGTACCTATCCATCCATCCATTCATCTATCTGATTATCTATCCATCTATCTATCCATCCATCTAAGTATCCATCCATCCAATTATCTATCTATGTATCTATCTATCCATTTGAGTATCAAGCCATCCATGCAAGTACATATCCATCCATCCGAGTACCTATCCATCATCCATCCATTCGAGTGCCTATCCATCTATCCATCTTTCCATGCATTCATCAGAGTACCGTTCCATCCATCCATTCATCCAGTACCTATCCATCCAGTCATCCATCAGAGTACCTATTCATCTATTCATTAAAGTATCCATCCATCTGAGTATCTTCCCATCCATTCATCTGTCCAAGTACCCATCAATTCATCCAAGTACCTATCCATCCATCCATCCATCTGTCTTTCCATCCATTCATCTGAATACCTGTCCATCCATCCATCCATCCATCCGAGTACCTATCAATCCAGCCATCCATCAGAGTACCTATCCATTCATCCGAGTACCTATCCATTCATCCATTCGAGTAACCTATCCATCCATCCATCCATCCAGGTACTTAAACATCCATCCATCCATCCATCCATCTACCTATCTTTTCATCCATTCTTCCGAGTACCTATTCATCCATCCATCCATCAGAGGACCTATCCATCTAGCCATCTATCTTTCCATCCATTCTGCCAAGTACCTATTCACCCATCCAACCATCAGTACCTATCAATCCAGCCATCCATTAGAGTACCTATCCATCCATCCATCCATCCATCCAACTACCTATCAATTCATCCATCCAAGTACCCATCCATCCATCGATCCATTAAAGCACCATTCATTCATTCATTCATTCATTCATTCATTCATTCATTCATTCATTCATCTGAGTATCTATTCATCCATCAATCTATCTATCCATTCATCCATCCATCCAAGTACCTATCAATCCAGCCATCCATCAGACGACCCATCCATCCATTCATCCAAGTATCCATCCATCCGAGTACCTATCCATCCAAGTATCCATCCGTCCGTCCATCCATCCATCCATCCATCTGATCACCCATCTATCCATCCAAGTACCTATCCATCCATTTATCCGAATGTCTATCCATCCAAGTAATTATTCATATCTATCAATGGAGAATTTCAAAGTCACGTTGATCGGGCCATCCATCAGCGGATACATTATATGTCATCTCTTAGACCTTTCAGAACTCCAACCATCTATTTATTCATCCATCCGACATCTATTCTTATCATCTACCCATCATATTACACAGTCTGCCTCATGCCATATATCACATTCCCACCAGTTTATCCCCCCTCAGGGCTTCTACTGTATTGAGTAAAAGCATAATTGCTCTGAGCGTGTCTGTTTGCTTTCACAGGAGCGTACCAATCCACATGTGTTTTCTCTACATCTAGTATTCATGACGGTGTTCAGACAAACGTGTGCATCTCGCTGCATCCAAGTCTGCGATTTACACATGAATGGCTGTTCTTGACCTCTGGGCAAGTTTCCATGTGTGGTGACGAACAGAGCTGAACAGGGCGATGGGATTTCACAGTCCGGTAAACCCCAGCTAAACATACTTTACTAAACAAGTAGGAAACACATACAGCAAGACTGTGAGAAAAAGTTTCAAAGATTACCAAAGGTGAAAGCTCATTAATAAATAACATAACAAGTCAGCATATAAACAGCAGATATAGTGGAAGACAACATTATCAGTCCTCCTATAAACTTTTAATTGTTTTTCAAAAATTTCCCAAGTGCTGTTTAACAGAGAGAAGGATTTTTCAACACATTTTAAAACATAATAAAGTTTTAATAAATCATTTATAATAACCAATTTGGATTTTTTTTCGCCATGTTGACTGCAATGTTGTGGACAGCTACTTTATAAAGTAATGCATTACAATATTGAGTTACTTTTATAGGAAATAATGCACTATATTACTTTTGAGTTCAAAATTTTCAGGGGGGGGGGGGGGTCTTCTTTTTTTTAATAGAGGAGCTCTGCAATTAACATCACACTGTATAACCTTCGTTTACCTTTTTAAAAAACATAAAAAGTTCATTCATTCATTCATTTTCTTGTCGGCTTAGTCCCTTTATTAATCCGGGGTCGCCACAGCGGAATGAACCGCCAACTTTTTTTTTTTACGCAGCGGATGCCCTTCCAGCTGCAACCCATCTCTGGAAACGTACACACACACACACACTCACACACTACAGACAATTTAGCCTACCCAATTCACCTGCACCACATCTCTTTGGACTGTGGGGGAAACCGGAGCACTCGGAGGAAACGCAGGGAGAACATGCAAACTCCACACAGAAACGCCAACTGAGCCGAGGATCGAACCAGCGACCCAGCGACCTTCTTGCTGAGGCGAACGTGCTACCCACTGCATCGCCAAATAAAAAGTTAATGTAGGATAATGTTATCTTCAGAGAAGTTCCTGACCCCAGAGCTATACATGCTGCATTTACAGATTAATGAAAGTTTACAGCAATAACTTTGTTACTTTTGTCCTTTTTTGTCTTATTAATAAGTAGAATCACTGTCCATTCAGATAATCCTCTTTTCCTTTTCTTCAATGCACTCAAAATAATGAGAATACTTATTTATGTAAAGCTCTGCCTTCTTCATTTCTGTCTGTTCCGGCATTCTCGCACTGAGTGCATGATTTAACGTGACTACAATTATTTTAATTCAACAATTTTTAAAAAGCAAATTAACTAAGCTTAAAAGTAACTGGCTTTACACTTTTTAAAAAGCAAGTTAAACAGTTTTACTTATTTTTTAAAAGTAACGCAGTGCTTGTTACTTAGAAAAGTAATATTATTACGTAACTGGCGTTACTTGTAATGCGTTCCCCTTAACACTGGATGACAGTACATAATATCTTACTAGTTATTTTTCATGATGATCCATTTATTTATGTTTTTCCATTATGGGACTTTGATCTTTCCATCATTTTGAAGTTTGAATTAAAAAGTTACTTTTATTCATAATTTTAATAGTTTGAAGTGGTAAATTGTCTGAGTTGGGGCTTGTAATAAACTCTGTACTTTTTTGTTATACAAATATAATTTTGTATACATTATTTCTTATACAATAAGCAAAAGTGTCAATAAATTTTGTCATTTTGTTAAAGTGTAGAGTCAAAGATAAAGGTCCATTATGCAACTCATAAGTGTAAATAAACAAACAAACAAAAAACTAAGAATCATGAAATACAGAGGATCGGAGAAGACATGCCACGTGACTCCTCGCCACCGGTTCTCATTGAAAATGAATGACTTCCGGCTACTTTGACGCTCTCGCAGCTTGTTTGTGAACGCTACCTCGCGTCGTCGCTCCACCCCGCCCCCCTTTCCCGCTCCTTAGTTTGTGAAGGCTTCCCCACGTTTTCACTCCACCCCCACCCCCTTTCCCGCTCCTCAATTTATGATCGCTTCCTCGCATCGTCGCTCCACTGACTCTCCCCGTCCCCTCAGTTTGTGATCGCTCCCAACACCACCACCCCACCCCCCAATCCCTCCAGGGGGGCCCCCGCATTTTGCGCTACGCCACTGATGAAATACAGAAACTATTTTAGATAGATAGATAGATAGATAGATAGATAGATAGATAGACAGACAGACAGACAGACAGACAGACAGACAGACAGACAGATAGATAGATAGATAGATAGATAGATAGATAGATAGATAGATAGACAGATGGATACATTTAACAATAAAGTTGTATTAACTAATGTTAGTTAATGCATTTACAAACACAAACAATGAGCGAAACATGTTAATTAGCGTTAATATAAACAGTGTTTTGACATTAGTATTTAAAAAAAGTGCAATTTAAAGGCTCAAGAAGGTTAATTTGGGTATTTAAGCAAGTAATTGAACAGCAATGGTTTGTTCTGTGAATAATTAGTAAAATAATGTTTACAGGAGCTCATAATATGGATTTTTACATATAATTTTTTTCCAGCCATATTAAAAGAAATAAGACTTTCTCCAAGATAAATACACTGTGAAAACAGTCCTTTCTCTCTTGAACATTACTTGGGAAATATTTTAAAAAGAATAATAATAATTTAATGTATAACAATTGTGTCTTGAGTTGAATGCACTGGTAAATGGATGCCAATGTCATTTTTAGAGCCAGTAATGAAGCACTCACCACTCGTTTTTCTCTGAAGTCTATTCCCACTGTGGTTATGAATTTGGAGTTGAATTTGCTGTCTGTGTACTGATATAGGAAGCTGGTCTTTCCCACCCCAGAGTCCCCCAGAGCGAGGAACTTGATGAGGTAATCATAGTCCCCATCGGACATGATGAGACCTATATGAAGACCTGCCAAACACAAACACAAAAGATTTTGTTAGGCCTGTCACAATAATCAATATTTCGACTCATCACACAACACATGGACACTGATTATTTTAGGTGATGCAATATATATCGCCCATACATAAAAACCAATTCTAGCAACAATTTAGCTGATATTATATTATATTTTCATGTGTGTGTCTGACAGCAGATATCACAGCCTCTGTCACTCTTTACCTTGCACTTCTGTGTTAACATTTATTATAATTTATTTAGTTAAAATTTGTTAAAATGACTATAATTAAATTAAATATTATTCTGAATAAAATAAGATGTGTTCTTTGGAAGAGTGCACTTGCATTGTGATGATATTATATTGTCATTCTGGCATTATAAAATGAGAGGCATAAAATGATCTTAAAATGACTTTAATATAGTTTATCACAATATATTTTGGTGCAATATATCTCAAAATAAAATATAGATATCGTGACAGGCCTAGATTTAATGTTTTGCTTTTATTTTTTATATATATTTTTATTTAGTTTTTTTTTTTTGTTAGTATTTTTTGCCACAATTTTATATTTTCTATACTTTTTAGTGTGTGTGTGTGTGTGTGTGTGTGTGTGTGTGTGTGTGTGTGTAAGAGAGAGAGAGACAGTAGATGAATAACTAAAAAATAAAATAAAGATAAATATTAAAATACAGACTGATTGATTGGAATTTATAATAAACAATTAATTATTTACTAATAACTTGTGCGACAACCTTCCAATGCCTTTCATCATCTGTACGCTGATGATACAGTGATTTATTGTTGCTCTCCTTCACTTGCTCAGGCCATACATTCTCTACAGTCTGCTTTTATCATTGTTCAGTCTCATCATCAGGATCTTAAATTGGTTTTAAATGTAGACAAATCTAAATGAATGATTTTCACAAATTGCTCCACTCCTGGATGGACCACTGGCGAAGGTGAACAAATAAATTTAGTGTCCAGCTACAAGTATTTAGGCTTTCTACTCGATCAGGAGCTTTCCTTCAAAGAACACATAGCAAATTTGGTTCGAAAATTGAGGGTTTTACTATCGAAACGCATCCTGCTTTTGCCCTAAAGCTCGTAAATATTTGGTGTCTGCAACATTTTCACCATTGATTGATTATGGTGATGTTTTATATAAAAGTTTCAACCAAATGTTTTTAGCCTTTAAACTCTGTTTATCACAGTGCTCTAAGGTTTGTTAACGCACCATTCGGAACTGTATGCCAAAACTGAGTGGCCTTCTCTGAATGTAAGACAGTACACCCACTGGATGAATCTGGTATACAAGGCTATTCTGGGACTGGTGCCTTTCTACCAAAGTTCCCTTCTTCATAAGTCAAAAAGCCAGCATGCACTATTTTCAAGTGAATCTTTTGACAGTTTCTCGGGTTCGAACTGAAATGGGGAGGGGAGCCTTTAGTTATGCCGCTTCCTCATCCTGGAATACTCTTCAGTCTGAGCTCATAACTATCAAATCTTTTCGCTCTATCCTTTATAACAAACAACAACAGTCCATTTCTCAATGTATGTGTCTTTAACATATTATAATGTGGTAGCTGAACAACTAAACTGTATTTTTATATTATCATAATTTCTATTTATTATTAATTTTTTGTTTTTTGTAAGTCGTGTGTTGCAGACATCTTGGCCAGGTCACCCTTGTAGATGAGATCTTGATCTCAATGGTTTTTTTTTTTTTTTATCTGGTTAAACAAAGATTAATTAACTAATAAAATTAACATATAGATAAATAGAATTTTCATTTCAATAATCAAATTTATTAACAGCATAATCTTACATTTACTACTTTTTATTTACAGTTGAAGTCAGAATTATTAGCCCCCCTTTTAATTTCTTTTCTTTTTTAAATATTTCCCAAATGATGTTTAACAAAGAAAAGAAATATTCACAGTATGTCTGATAATATTTTTTCTTCTGGAGAAAGTCTTATTTCTTTTATTTCGACTAGAATAAAAGCAGTTTTTAATTTTTTTTTCTTTTTTTTTTTTCTCATTTTAAGGACAAAATTATTAGCTCTTTTAGGCTAATTTTTTTTTAGATAAGTTCTACAGAACAAACCATCGTAATGCAATAACTTGCCTGATTACCCAAACCTGCCTAGTTAACCTAATTAACCTAGTTAAGCCTTTAAATGTCACTTTAAGCTATATAGAAGCGTTTCGAAAAATATATAGTAAAGTATTATTTACTGTCATCATGGCAAATATAAAATAAATCAGTTATTAGAGATGAGTTATTAAAACTATAATGATTAGAAATGTGTTGAAAAAAATCTGCTCTCCGTTAAACAGAAAACGGGGAAAAAATAAACGAGGGGGCTAATAATTCTGACTTCAACTGTATGTATAAATAATTTATTCATTTTGAATTTTGTCTTTATGTATTCTGAACTCTAGTTTAGTGTAGTGCTTCAAATTAAAGATGTAATCAGTTTTTATGGTTTTCATCTTTGATTATTGATGATAACCTTGACATAAACGTTCCACAACTCTTCCAAACAAAACACACACAAAAAAATATCTTGAGAAGTTAAAGTCAACATAAACCTTCCTTTCGCAAAGCCATTTAACTTCCATATCATGGCAGGATATTCACAAACATTGAGCTTAAAATGATGAAAGGCACATTTTCATTGATGCAACAGTGCTGATTAAGTAACAGGAAACTAAAACAACTATTTGAGACAACCGCTGAAGTGTTGCGTTTCCATCTGGAACTGTAAAAATGCATGTTAAACTCCTTTTGTCGTTGATCATGCATGTCCACAAATGCTCAAATCCTGGAGCTTAAATGAGGAACAGACTCTGAAAACCTCTCATACTTGAACGCATGCAAACAAAAGCTTTTATTTGAGCTCGCATTCATCAAATCAAGTGGTTTATGACCACAATACTGAGACTCGGGTCAAAGTAAAGTGTTTTGTAACCCAGAGGTTGCTTTAGACACAATCATTAACCAACATATTAGACTTTTAAACTTTTAAATTGTCTATAGAATAATGCGCTGCAATATAATGGGACACTTATCCTTTAAAAAAGTCAATATACATACATTTACATTGAGTCATTTAGCAGATGCTTTTGTCTAAAGCGACTTACAATGGAGGCATTCAGTGATTCAACAAGGCAATAGATACACAAGAAGTGCTAATAATACAATTGAACTGCTAGTGCTTAGAGAATTAAGTGCTAGATTAGAGGCAGCGGGGTTTTGTTTAATAGTTAGAAATGCGTTTCTACAGGTGGTTTGTCAAGCCCACTCACCAGCACACTTCATAAATGCACCTTGTATTGTTTTACAGAGACGTGTAGTGATTTTAAAGGGTCACGAAACACCAAAACACATTTGTTTGAGCTGTTGACAGTCGTATATGTGTCCCACACTGCTATAAACACTGTTAGGACACCTATATTTCACTAAAAAGTGTAAATTGGTTGTTTTTGCGTTATTTCAAGCAAATTCGTACTTCCGGTTTGAAACGAATTTTTGAAGCTGCGTCACGGTCATGACATAATAGCGTGTATTCCAGCGTGCAGACTGGACGTCTGTGCCAGAGTGTGTCTTATTACGTCTTACAGTGTGATGCATTAATGCATGAGTGAGGCTTGGTTCAAACCAATCAGCGCGCTCTATTGTGCAACTTCATTAATATTCATTACTGTCACCGTATTTACACGACAGAGACGCCACCTTGTGTTGGCAAAACAAGCGTGAAGTGTTGCTTTTATAGTTTGCTGCAGTTAAGTTTCGTTTTCATTTTCTCTCTGTGAGAGCTCAGACTCACGTGTGGATTAACAGTGTACGCGACGCGCGAGAACAATAACTTACGTGTCTAAGGAGGATTATTGTTTACCTGAGAGCTGTTCTCATCTGCAAACGCTGAGATCCGGATTCGCTTGTAGTCTCCTCTTAATAAAGACGCGGCTCTAGTTGCTGGTGATTGTCCTGTCTCTACAGATTTGGTAAGTGAGCGACCAGTGCTTTTTGTTTATTCAGTTTGTTCGTATCGAACTAAGTTAACCATTGCACCGAGTGTAAACATGTTAGCACCACAACCAAACTTTAACCTCGTGTAGGATTTTCACCGCATTTAGTTCCTCGAATCAAATATCTTGTTTGTTGCGAGGGGCATGTATGAATTCCCTGAATGAAAGAGCCAAACTGCAGTTAAAGTCCACCATTTAATAATTTGGCAAATAATTCGACTACAGATGTCCATGTAGGTTAAACACCATCACTTTCTCCTGTGTGTGTATTTTGACTCTGAAACTCGCGCGTGTCCAAATAGACACCCTCCCACTTTAGTTCCTCCGACACTCCCCCCCTAAACAGAGCTGGACACGCCCACTTTTCTGACTTTTTCCAAAGTAGAGGTGTGAAAACACCCTGCTGAAACGAGGGGGTTTCATGGCCCTTTAAGAAAGTGTCTGGTGCAAGTGTTTGTTAAAGAGTGAAGCAATTAAAGAAATCAAACGCACACCTAAACAAGCTAATCAAGGTCTTACTAGGTACACTTGAAACACCCAGGCAGGTGTGTTGAGGCCAGTTGGAGCTAAACCCTGCAGGGCACCGGACATCCTGGACCGAGATTGGTGACCCCTGCATTAGAGGCTGGTTATATTCACACGCTGTTGTTGTTGTTGATTTTTGCATAATAGTTCCCCTTTAGTAAAGTCAAATGTTCTCTAGCCTCTGTTTTGCGCTACAATTTCAAAACCCCTCAATATACAGTACATCTTGTCTTGACACGTCCACTGGGGCGAGAGAGAGAGAGAAAAAAATCATCAGGAGTTCCTCAGACTGCATTAAAGCGGATCATATGACTGCAGAAAGACCATTAAAAACAAACGGCCACATTCTTTCACTCAGCAGCGCTAAAGACCATCCGGGACCTTAAGCTGCTTAACGTCTGGGCCAAAACAAGCAGCCGGAACAATCCAGAGACTCTTCTGGGTTTCAT